TGCTGGACCTGAGAGGGGCCCTAGGAGCATGTGCAGTGACAGTGGTGAGAGTGCTGCCGGGGGGCCCCTCCCCTGGAGCTAGCTGCTGCTGGCGGGGAGAGGGCTGGGGGGAGTCCTCCTCTCTGGTCCCAGCCCTGGGGCAGCCTGCCTGCACCCCAAACTCCTTTTCCCCTGCCCTGCCCCACCCCAGAGCCCGCACCCCCCCAAACCCTAACCCTCTGCCCCAGTCCTGAGTCCCTCCCACACCCCAACCCCCTCATCCCCAGGCCCAGCCAGAGCCTTCACCCTGCAAACTGCACCCCAACCCTCTGCCTGAGCCCCTCCCACACCCCTCATCACCAGCCCCACCCCAGAGCCCTCTCATTTTTACATAATTAAAAAATATATCTATATAGGCTTACAAGGCAGGTGTGTGTGTGTGTGTGTGGGGGGGGGGGTTACTTAGACCTATCCTGGGCACCACCAAAAATTATACAAATGTGCCACCCCTGGTTAGGGCAGCACATGGGAAACCTGCAATACTATGCCTGTGCTGGCCCAGTTCTGTGGATAAATACAATACTCCACTGCTGGTACTTTCAAGATAGTGTAATTCCCCAGCAATTTGCTTTCTTGTCAGGTCTTCTTCCTTAATTAAATGGCCCTGAAGAACCAGCACGGATTTTTTTGCTTTTACAATGTGGTATTTATTAGTAATTTGTGTGCAGCAGAGCAGATGCTAATATGCAAACTATGCAAAGAGCAAATCTTTTCCTCTAAATGTAAATATTTACAGAAAATATTCAGTGGTATTTAGTATTCTGCAAACATATTGTCAACAGCTCTATCCAGACTCTTCGCAGCCTAAGAGTTGGCAGAGGCATGTCCTATGTGAAAGGAAGATTACAGAAAGACAGTGGGCTAAACTCATCTTTGGTTTCAATGGGCTTCAGTAGAGTTACACTAGAAGTGATTCTGGCCCAGTTAAACTTTTAATTCTTATTTTGTAATGGGCTGTACTCACCCCATATAATCTGGACATTTGATGGATTATTTTCATTGTTATGGAGAGGGAAGAGGAACGGCTACCTCAGATCAAACCAGTCGTCTATCCAGTCCAGTACACTACAGGGGGAAAGGAACCACTCAATCCCAAGAGGCTTTTGGATCCTCCATGTGTAACCATTCCATTTTCAGAGGCCTCTTTTTGTTAGGAAACAAGAACACTGATTTAGATTTTTTTTCAAAGCGGCACATAGGATTTCGCCACAATTTCCGTTAAACTTAATGGAAGATGTGTGACTGAGTTCTCTGCACTCCTTTGAAAATAACTTTATTTTGAAAGCAAAGAAGATCAAATCTTCCCTGACCAGGTCACCATCCTTTCTTGAAACAAAAGCACACTGTTTCCTTAACTCAAAACTATGGTCTTTGGTCACTGCCAAATCCCCAGATAGGTTATAGGCTCAGATTTATATTAGAGCAATTTTTGTTTAAAGCAGCATCCTAAAATAATCTCTTTTTTATCTTTTTTTCAGACCAATTCCCTTGATTGCATGTCTTTACATCCTGTAATCTCTGCTCTCCTGACAATTTGGAATAAATGCAAAACAAATAGAAGGGTGCCACCAGTTTATCCCTGATTTATATTCTAAGAGAGAACCTGTTATTGCCAGCAGGACTTAGCACCCTAACTTTTCACACAAGGCATGTGGACCTGCACAGAATGTTGTAAAGACCTTTGAACACCTTTCAAAATAATGTCCTTCAGGATGCTCAGAGTGTAATATACCAGCATAAATGACAGATAAGGAATGTGAATTACAAGATTAGCTGAGGGACTTTGGTAACCTAACAATGCCTTTATTTGCATGATCATTGGTACTTTTTTCAGTATGTTTGTCACTATATGGATTCTCCCCAGACTTAATTTCTGTGCTTATGCTGTGTCAAACCTTTTCCCCCTGCTGCTTTCCTCTTCCAGAGAATTGCCTTCCCCCTCCCTCTACGGCTCTGCTCAGCAGCTCTGGATTATTTACCCTACTACTCTGCATGGTCCTGCCAGATCATCTATCCCACTGCTCCACACAGGTTGCTGGGTTCATTTATCTTTCAGCTGTCTCTCCTACTTTTCTTGAGCCCTGACCTCCCGAAATGGTAGGGAGATCTTTGTAGTTGTCACTAGTGCATGTAACGATACACATAGGTAATACATTTAGTCATGATTTAAAATATGTATAACATCGACCAGGCTAGCATTTTTTCCTGCTTAAGGAAAAAAAAAAATTGCCTGTTATAAATTTCTAGGCGGAGTGCGTGAATGATCTCAGATTCAGTGCCACCACTGGCAAGATTAATGGAAACACCAATCAATGTATGATTTGAGATAGCTAGAGCTAATTGCATTCTCCTTCTTGACATGTTTACTGTCATCATGACCGTACATGGCATATCATAATGTGGACTGTACGAAGCACTTGAAGCGGTCTGCTGAATTCACAAAATTCTTCTCTGGGCCATCTGGAAATGCCTGAAGGGAATGGAACTTATAGAAAATGTGTTTGACCTAAAATGGGCATATGTGGCTTAACTGAAGCCTGGTGTATTCTGCTAGTCCATGGAATCTGCCTCTTGCTGCAGAGGTTTGATCAGAATATAAGTTTTCATTAAGTAAAAAATTATGCTCCTAGACTTTATGGTTGTAAAGGAAACCATGACCAGAGGGTAATCCATTGCAGTATTATATTCCTGAGTCTGCAGACATCCTGAAAAGCTCCCTTTATCGCAATGAGTTAAATTCTGAAAGCCAAAGATAATTTAAATGTCAGCATTTAACTGTGTCACTGCTGATCTTTTAGCAGAAACACCAGCTAATGTCCTTTTTGCAAAAAGCCAAAATGCCTTCCATGCCACTTCAGGGCATGAAAGCTTCAAATGTCCCTAATAACCAGCCATCAGATGCAGTTATACATGGTTATATAAATCTTTGGTATGTCAAAAATGGAAAATATGGAGATCAACATAACTCAGGGTCTACTGTACCAATTGTATTATTAATTTTTAATTCCGTAACAGCTTCCTTTTAAAATTTTAAATGAAGGTGGTGCCACAGACATTCCTGCTGCAGATTCCAGGGACCCTCGTACAAAACGTGGGCCCAAATTGCTGCAAAGTACACAGTTCCTCAGCTTCACCACCACCTACAAGACTGATGGAATGAGAACCTGTTGCACTGTGTGTATTCCTAGTGGTTTACCTAGCAATTTGTACACACACTACCAACGTATTGCCCCCTTTCTCAATGTTTCCTAATCTCCTGTGACATTCACTTAAAATTTTGCTTGCATTTTATATTAGTATTAGACTGGGATTTCAGGAAGCAGTACCTTGAGGAGACGGTGGCCATTGGAGTGAATAAGCTTTAATAGGTCTTACTGTTTAGAGAAATTCAGAAACACAAGAAGAAACGAAATACGTTCGTATGACTACATCTACTTGTCTCCAAATTGTCCAGTGTATCCTAAACTGGACTCTAAGAGCTATATATTGTGTAATATGCAATGCACACTTTGGGTGCCTTATACATAATAAAACATCACTGGTGACTGCCTTTTGTGAACACAGAGAATCTAAGTAGTAGCTCAAAAGATGAAAAGTGTGATGAATTTAGTTTTAATTGTTTTGATTTTGCAGAAAACATCAATTACTTCGGTACATTCTCATTCCTTCGAGAAATGGTGGGGAAATGGCTTTATAAGCCGTAGAATACACAGATAATTCATCAACAGAGAGATCAAAGGTTTTTCCTAAAGAATTATAAGTATGAAGGAGAGCGAGATTCTGTATGACAACAAAGGAACAGGGCTGGCCTTATGGGCTGTAGCTCCTTAACCTTCAGTTTCCACCGCCTCCAATCTTGCTGCCAGTGGAGGGGGTGACCTGGACAGATAGTGAGTTTTCTCTCTGGTCTTGCTGCTGGAGGGGAATAACCTGAGAGTTGCTATGCCAATACTGGAGTACAGTAAGGTGAAAGTTCTTGCAGTGGAATCTGAGAGGTGGCGATATTTTGCTATAAAAATGATTAATTAAACCAACATTAACAATCCCAAACAGTTGGGAGCCAGAGACTAGGCAGGTTAAGCTCTCACCGAAACCAATGGGAATGGTGGGTACCTATGCCAGGGCTGAGTTAGACCTCACATGCCCTCAGATAATTGGTCAGGAAGGTACCTGTGTATATTTTTAACAGTACAGTGTTTTGCCCGGTCTGCCACAAATCCCTCGCCGAGACCTAAGGGTGTAACAGGAGAAGCAGGAGCTGCGCTGTACCCAACCTCCTCCAAGCCTGGGTTCAAAGGCCACCAAGGTCCACTCAGTCCTTCGCCCTGGCAGCTGGTCCAGACCCGAGAAAGCAGCGCTGTGGCTGCGAGGCTCCTGCGGGCTCAGGCAGGGAAGGGCCAGCGCCCAGCCTCGGGATCCCTTGGCCGCAGTGGCTCAGGGCTGGAGCGGCCAGCAGGGCAGAGCCGGACGTCCCTGGGCACCCCCAGGTAGGGCAGAGCGAGGCCCAGCCCGCCCCCCCGACAGCCCCCTGGAGGGTTCACCCAGTGCCGCCCCCCCCGCGAGAGCGAGCCCCGTGGGCGATGCCAGAGGGCCGGGGGGAACCACTGGGACACAGGGGCGGGGGGAGGCTGCTCACACCGCAGGCGTAATCCCCCCCCTACATCCCCTTTCTCTCCCCCCCGCCCTCGCTACCGTCGGCGCCGCACCACGCATCCGCTTCCGCGTAGCAGGAAAATCCCTTCCACGTCGATGCGCGGCCCTCCAGATTAGCCCCGCCCCTTTCCCCTCACTTCCGCAGGCTGGAGGGAGCCGCGCGCGCGCGCGTAGCCCCGCCTTCTCAGGAACGCAACCTCTGAGAGGGAAGCTGAGCTCGCCGGCGGTGCGGGGGGGGGGGCCGTGGGAGGCGGGGCCGGAATAGGGGCGTGGCTACGGGCTGGAGGCGGCGGCGGGGCCGGCTCGGCACCGGCAGGGGGGCGGGGCCTGGCAGAGGCATGTGGCGGGGCCGGCGCCGCCGCGCAGGGTTCTGCAGCCCTAGCTCCGCTTCCCCAGGCAGCCGCGCCGGAGTCGGAGCGGGGGCCGGGCGCGCGGCGTGGCTGCCGCTGGCCGGGTAAGCGCGTCAGGCGGGGAGCCCCAGGCGGCGGGGCGCCCCCTACCCCCGGGCCAGGTGCTGCGGGGGCCGCTCCGTGTCTCCGCGCTGGGTGCCCCCTGCCCCGGGGGGGCCGGAGCCAGGGCGGGCGCTGGGCGCTGGGGTTGGGGCGAGGCATTTCGTGTGTCCACCCTCCCCGGCGTAGCCCGCTGCCCCTGGGAACCGCCTGCCCCGTGCTCGGCCAGGGCGTGCCCGGGATTTGCACCGCTGCTCCCGGCCTTGGCACGGGGCGGAGTTCGCGCTGCGTGTGTGGCCACCTGTCGCCGGCGGCTGCGTCTTCTCCCCGCGGCGCATTGCTCCAGGTGCGTGCCCTGGCCAGGCAACGCCAGGGGCCACCTGCCTGGCCGGGGGTGGAGACAGGAGCGAGGGCTGGGCGGAGGTGCTCTGGAGAGTCACGCTCTCTCTCCCGCACGCACGGGGCCTGCAGCGGTAGTGTCTGAGCAGCTGCCCCTGTGCCGCCACGGGGACCGGGTCCCATTCAGTGTGTGCCTGGGCACTGAACTGGAAGTACCACGTCTAGGACTAGGTGGGCCGTTCAGGGTCCAAGTTCATTGGTTCCTGGGCCCTCGTCCTTGAGACTGAAGATTGTCACCCAGTATGGTGGCTTACACCTTGTCTACACTAGAACTTGCCTCAGTATAAGTTTTGTCGCTCAGCCGTGTGGATTATTCACACCTGAAGTTATCTTGAGCTAAGCGCCTATGTCGGCAGGAGAGCTGATAGAATAATTAAGCCAAGGGGAGAGCTCTCTCCGGTTGGCTTAGAGCAGGGGTTGGCAACCTTCGGCATGCAGCCTATCAGGGTAATCTGCTGGCGGGCCACGAGACGTTTTGTGTACATTGACTGTCCATAGGCATGGCCCCCCCCACAGCTCCCATTGGCCAGGAACAGCGAACTGCGGCCACTGGGAGCTGTGGCGGGCATGCCTGCGGACAGTCAACGTAAACAAAATGTCTCTCGGCCTGCCTGTGAATTACCCTGATGGGCTGTGTGCCAAAGATTGCCAACCCCTGGCTTAGAGCATTTCACCAGAAATGCCACAGCTGCATTGGTGCAGCTGTAGCCTTAGTGACTCTGGACACTTGACAACTAGAAAATGGGCAAAGACCAGGCCCAAGAGCAGCGCCAGCTCTAGGTATAATCAGACTGAGCGATTGCTTGGGGTCCACTATTTGCTTTTTAGTATGTGGTGTATGTGGGGGTAAAATATTCATGCTTAAAACCCCCCAGTGAGCTAGCCCTGTCTCTGCCTAAGAGACAATGTGTGTGAAATGGATAGTCAGTATAGCTTGCAAATTCTGTTAAGGTTGTCTTATGTCAGCATGTGAATCCTGTGAAAATGGTTTGCCCTTCAGTTTTTGATTAGGGCTTTGCTTACTATTCAAGCGGCATGTATTGCCCAGGTCTGACAGTAGGATTCTGGCCTGTATCCTTTGAGGATGGGGTGATTTTATTTAGCTGATTTTTAAAACAAAAAATTTTAAACTGATTGATTATTTGGAAGGTGGTGTGGTCAGAGGTCCATTAACCAACTCCAGTGTCTAGGCAATTAAACCACAACGTGTAAGGGTCTCAGAACAATGTAAATGTTTCCTCCTATCAGTACTGTAGTCTTCTGGATTGTGAACTCTATAGTTAAGACTGGAACTTATGTAGAAGATAATTTAAGTGAAATCAGACTGTTAGAAGATTCACAGAAGCTTTCTTTTTAGATTGGAATTTTCGTTTTGCGGGGGGGGGGGCAGAGGGAGGGAGAAGATCTAAGGAAAATTCCTTTTTTTTAGTTCCATTTTGAATGGCTTGTAGACAGTGTTTTAATTTTTGTATTTCCTCTAAGTGTCTGAACTTTAAAATTTTAGGCCCTATTTCTGCAGACTTGAGCACGTGCTTAATTTTCTGAGTGGGTTTTCATGTTGAAACCAGTGGGACTACACACAAGCATAAAGTTAAGTAATGTTTAAAGCCCCAAATCCTTGTTGATTTGGATCTTTAAAATTCATGCAAAGCTAGTCCTTAATGAGGACCACCAGATCAGTAATGGATATCTTGTAAGCCAAATCCAGCCTACTGGGCTCCCAAGTCCTGTCCTCCCAAATAAATGTGCCTGTCACCTGTAATACACACAACTCCTGACTACCTTCCCACTAGAAGAGTGCCTGAAAATATAGCCAGCAAGTGCCTTTAGCAGATCACTTCTACCAATGGCTTAACAAACTTATGTAAGACTCCCTTGCATTCAGACAAAAATGGTGCAACGAGCTTAATATCAAGTTCATTAAGGCCACCGATCATAAACTGCTTTAATTACATCACTTGGGCATGTTCACACAATGCTCCATGTGTTGGCAGAGCACATCCATAGTTGGTGCTCTAGCATCAACAGAGGGAGCAGTGCACCATGAGTAGCTATACCACTGTAAATTGCCACCTTCTCCTGCTAAGAATTCTGGGAATGGATCACAGTGCATAATGGAGGTGGGATCACTGCCCCCATGATGCAGTTTTCTCCATCCCATAATTCCAAAGGCTTTCAACTGCATTTTTGCACCATTTTTCAACTGCCCTTGTAAACTTTGTGCCTGCCATTTCTGCCTGAAAGCATGGATCTTGCACTGCTTTACAGTCTTGTGAGAAGCGTTATGAACACAACCTGCCTGATCCTGCAGTATTTCATGAACTGCAAATCTGAACTGGAATCCATGCTGCCTGCCCTGCTGGGTACCATGGAAAGAAACAATTCAAGATTGATGTTGGTATTGTGACAAAGCTCTGTCCTTGCCTCGGTGGGTCCCGCGTTTCCTGGCAGATTTTGCTAGCCTCAGAGGCTCACTGTGACCCTCCACGTAACCCTTCTTTCTCTAGGGACAAGGGTCACAGGCTACTGAGCCATTTTCATCATAAGCCAGCAAGGGAGGTGAGGAGAAGTTATCCTTCCTTGCACAGTCTCTGTTGTCTCCCAGTCTCAGTGATTAATCAGGGGGCAAAGGTGGTGGGGGGAGCCCAGGCCCACCTTCTACTCCGGGCTCCAGCCCAGGGACCCTAATAGTATCAGCTATGGTAGCTGACCTTTTAGAAACATGACATGTACAATTCCCTGGGCTACTTCCCCCACAGCAGCCCTTACTTCCTCAAGCTCCACTTCACCCTTACCTCAGGGCCTCCTTCCTTGTGCCAGATATGGTGTGTACTACTCAGCCTCTCCAACAGCACAACTTCCTCCCACAGCTCCTGACATGCACACCCACCTGACTGACTGGGAGGCTTTTAACTAGTTTCAGCCAGCCCCTGACTGGCTTCAGGTTTCCCAATCAACCTAGCATTCTCCCTGCCTTCTGGAAAGTTCTTAATTGGCCCCAGGTGTCTTAATTGACTTGGAACAGCTTCCATTTCACTTAACCTGGTACCAGGGATTTGTTTAGCCTGGAGCTAATATATCTATCTCCCACTACTTTTCTATAGCCATCTCGCCTTGCCCTGTCACAGTATTCATGGAGCAGCTGCACACAGTGGACTGTCGCTATTGGGCCCAGGAAACAAGCACCCAGTGGTGGGATAAGATTGTGATGCAGGTATGGGATGACGAGCAGTGACCACAGAACTTTTGGATGCATGAGGCCACCTTCTTTGAACTGTGTGGAGCTTGTCCCCACCCTGTGGTGCAAGGACACCAAAATGAGAACTCCCCTAATGATGGAAAAGCGAGTTGCTATCACTGTGTGGAAGGTGGCAACTCCAGATCACTACTGTTCAGTTGCGAATCAGTTTGGAGTTGTAAAGTCCACTGTGGAGGTTGCGGTGATGCAAGTGTGGAGGGCCATTAATCGCTTCCTGCGATGAAGGACTGCAAGTCTGGGTAATGTGTAGGAAATAGTGGATGGCTTTGAGGCAATTGGATTCCCTAACTGTGGCGGGGAGTAGATGGGGCACGTATCCCAATTTTAGCCCCAGATCATCTCGTGATGGAGTACATCAACCGAAAGGGCTACTTTCTGTGGTATTGCAGGCGCTGGTGGATCACCGAGATCGTTTCACTGACATTAACGCAGGGTGGTCAGGGAAGGTGCATGGCGCACGCATCTTCAGGAACACTGGCTTGTATAGAAAGCTGCACGCAGGAACTTTCTTCCCAGACCAGAAGATTCCAATGGGGATGTTGAAATGCCCATAGTGATCCTGGGAGACCCAGCCTACCCTTTACTCCCGTGGCTCACAAAGCCCTACACCAGAAACCTTAGCAGCAGAAAGGAGTGCTTCAACAACAGGCTCAGCAGATGCAGAATGACGGTAGAATGTGCATTTGGCAGATTAAAGGGTTGCTGGCGGTGCCTTTTTGGCAGGTTAGACCTCAATGAGGAAAATATTCCCATGGGCATAGCCGTCTGCTGTGCTCTGCCTAACATTTGTGAAGCCAAGGGAGAGAAGTTTCCCTGGGACGGAGTGTTGAGGTGGATTGCTGGGTGTCTGATTTTGAGCAACCAGACTCTAGGGCTATTTGAATCAGGGATGCTTTGAAGCAGCATTTTGACAGAGCCCCAGTAACATCTCTTTCTGTAATGAATTGAGGTATTGTTTACTCACCACCTTGAATGACCCCGTAATGATTCCTGTCTGAGCATTAATTGTAGTCTGCAAATGTGCCAATTGATACTTTGTATGAATTTCTGTTGAAACCACCCTTTGTCGGTCACAAATCAAGAATCACTGTCTTTATAAGATTCACTTTTTATTAAACCAGTAATACACAGATTAACGTTTCTTACAAGGGACATGACAGTGAGCAGCACTCTCTGAAGTGAAGGATCTCACAGCTGCATGTAAGTCCAGCTGTCATTCTGGGGAATATCCCTGGAGGGGGGAGAGCAAGGAGTACTGCAAAATGCTGTTAACATGAGAGGAATGTGTGTGGGGAGTTTGGAGACAGCAAGGAAGGCAGTTCTGTATGAGCTGCAGGGAGATTCGAG